TCGATCGACAATTTTGTTTATGTAAGAAAATGTATGCAGAGAGGGGAAAAAATTTCAGTATTTGAAAAACGAAAACGACCTCTTATTTATAGCCATTAGCAGCAAGGAACGCGTATGCTCAGACAAATCTGTTCAGACCCCTTTTTTCCAGAACGTTGTGTCTTTTGGGAAAAGTAACGACTTTTCGGAAGGAACAAATCCTTTCAAACGAATTTACCGTTACGCGCGAATTTCAAATAATTCGTTGCGAAATTAATTTTGTTATTTAACTAACATTCTGAATTAATTTATAAGAGAAAAGAAATCTAACATTCTGAATTCATTTATAAGAGAAAAGAAATGAATTAACAAGATTGATTAAATAAATTTTGTCCAAAAAATATTATCAAGCACATCATTTGCCAAATTCAAAGCCGAGCGAGCGACGACGACGGCGCGAGGGGGCACCTTCTTCTTAACCCTTTAAGAACTAAAGGAAGTGTTTCCTAATATAAAGACAACAATTTCCTTTCTTCTACCAATATGGTAAAAATGACTTTTCATTTGTACTTTGCAATGAATTTTCATTTTCCCTCCAAAATTGGTTCCCCCACTTTCATTGGTTCATCCACTTTCCACTTTCCATTTTCTCTTTTTATTTCTCATTCACACCTTGCTAAATCCAACAATTCGTTATGTTGTAAATTATTAACTACATATTTGGTGAATGGTGAGAAAGTGGTTAGCTATGCATTTTCTTGTATCAATCTCCTGTGCAAGACCTTGAAATCTTAGTACGTAGCTATTCCAGGATAACTAATATAATCCAGGATAATTAATCCAGGGTGGAATAAGTTATTCCAGGGTAATTAATCCTGGAATAACTTGCTACCAACCACCGATTATAGATTGCCAGCATTAAGAGAAATAATGAGAAGTATGTACAACTAGCAACAATATATTACATACATAGTTGTTGTGCTTATCGACTACATGATCTTATATAGGAGGTTATGAATTAACATTGTTTTACTTATATTTCCATTCTAATAGTCGTGGTATTTGTCCTACAGTTTCTCTTGTCCTTTAATTCAAGTACTATCTATTGTCGCTTATATGTTGATTATCACACTATGTTATTTGTAATTATTGTTCCTTTTTGTCACGATGTTTTATCATGCTTTCCATAATATTTTATCATAATTTCTTCACTTTCGATTATTTCTTTTTTTATTATCTTTGATATATTTTAAAAACTTCAAGTAGATAATTACTGTCGCTTGCAAATCCTTGATGACAAGATATACCAACATTTGAAACCTACTTTGCCTAATTAATTAAGTTACAAAAACAATTAGTAGTACTCTGTTACATAAAACTAACGCATACTCAAATCATTTTCATGCATAACAATGCCAATTCAATGGCAAATGTATATATCTGGAAAATTCATTAATTAAAATAATCTCCGCCGGAGAACTGCCACATCCCAGCTCCGCTACCATTGTTATAATTCCGACCATACGGATCCGGAGCTCCGGGAAACGGCCAAACGGCACTTCTTCCAATATCAAACCCCATATCCTCAATTCCACCAAGCGCTAAAACCCCAGGCCCATGAGAACTCAACAACGATGTGAAATTATTGATAGGCTTCACATCGGTACCAAAAAGTAATTGATTGGCTGCAGGAAGAGGAAGCACAAACGGAGAATTACCGGGTACTACGTGAGGAGAAACGGAAGCAATGGTGGAGAAGGGGGTATTGGTGTAAATACGGGAGCGTTTTGCATTTTTGCGGCTACCTCCACCAATTGGGATGTCACGTAAAGTGCCCCCTTGGGTCCAGTAACGGCGGCAAGACTTGCAGAAATGGCGGGGCTGAGACAAATTATAGTTGTTGTAATAGCAGAACTTTGTGTTGATAGAGTCACAGCGTGGGCAAGGAAGCTGATGATCAGGTTCTTGTGTTGGTGGTGCTTGCACACCACCTGTTTGTTGTTTTGTCACTCTTTTTTCACTTGCTTCCAAAGTCATTTTTGCAGAGTAATTAAGTTAGAGCTAGTAGAATTGTGGGCCTAATGGGAAACAATGAAATTAATGGCATTTTATTTATAGAGAGGAGAATGATAATGTGAAACAGAGTCTCAGTGTGTTCTGTTCTGAAGCTTACGTGCAGCTTTTGCAGGGATATTTGCCACGAGATAGTATGAATTTTTATCTCCATTTTAAAATGAATGATTTAGTTTTATTTGGTACGAAATTTAAGAAAATAAAAATACTTTCTTAAACATGTCACGAGGGAAGATAAAATTAAAATGTTGTTAAAAAAAAGTCGCTCTTTTTAAACAGAGTGAAAAAAATAGATCATTCTTTTTTAAACGGAGGAAGCATATTTAGACAAACTGAAAAAATGCAGTGACTTTATTTGGGTCGGCTTCAAAATGGGGGCTATTGTTAGTCTATCTCACTGCTTGCCTTGTGTTTTTCTTGCTACCACTCCTTTCGTTTTGTCATTTTCTTGTCATGACATTGTGATTCCTAGTGTCCCTCGTCTTTCTTTTGGTCTAAAGTGATGATCATTTTTTTTTTCAATTAGGTTAATAGGTTCTGACTTGGATTTTTTTAGCTTCCTGAAATATACCACATCTGTGATAAACCTATTTTAACTTGTACCATATTTAATGAAAAAAGATGAGAGTAGGGGAATCTTAGTCATGTCTGAGACAAAATGGTTAACTATCTGAATTTTCACTTTATAATTTATTTACTAGTCTGTTTAAAAGAGAATAACCTTTTTTTTGTAACACTTTAATTTAAATCTTACCCTCGATAGTTCTTTGTTCAAAACTATACCAGGCTTGAAGCACTGCTGGAACCCGTTTAAGGGTCGCTAACAAAAGGTGAAAATGGGACATTTTTAATGACACAAGATTAAATGATATTCTTGTACACTAACTTTAATTTAGGACCACAATACAAGATTAAAAAGTCTTCCTTATTTTTTTAAACTATGCTATTTTTTTTTAACGGAGGGAGTATGTTATTTTGAAAAAGTCTTTAGCTTTTCAATGGTAAGGAAGAAGGATGAACGATACTCCTCTGTTGTTGCCGAAGGTTTGTATGTTGTAACTTCAGTGTCTATGATCAACAAAAATTGTAGAGGAATGTTAAGTACTCTTTTATTTTTAATTAGAGATTTTGAGTTCGAGCTTTTGAATTTAGTCGCCTCAATATGAATATCAAACACTAGGTGAGAAACCAAAAAATAAATAAAAAAATCAACACCTATGTCGATTTGTCACACTCACATCTTAAGCGATCGAAGGCAAAGAGTACCATTTTTGCCGTATCACAAACAGAACAAGAAAAAAAAAAAAAGCATTTCCTCGTTTGCGTTGCAGGAGAAGTAAACAAAGAAGCCTAAAAATTTCTCTTGTTACAAACTAAAATTTGTCAAATGTTAATTACTCCATAAAGTCATTTGATAGAGTGTATAAGAATAATACTGAAAGAATGTATTAGTAATGTTGGAATTATCTTATCCATTGTTTGGCTCGATATATTAAGGGTTGTTTTGTCCTTAGTCATGCTTATTCATGAATATGGTATATAACTAATACATAAAATGAAAATCCTTCCAAACGAAGAATTAAATAATACCCTAACTGATATATATATATATTATATTTTCTAATACATTCTACCAAATGATCCCTCGATACATTGGGTAGTTTTGATGGAGTAGTAGGAGTATAGATGGTCAAAAAGAGAGACAACTTGAGTCAGAAAAAGGAACCAACTCCATTGTGTTTATCTCAAGAAAGTTAGCAAATGAAGCAATAATATTATCAATTGGACAAAAGGGCAAAACCAAAAATTTGATCAAGACATGAGCTGATAGATGCATGTTAATTGAAACCAAATTAAGGCTGCTTCAATAAATAAAGAGGCTAGGCGTGTAAGAAGATGAAAGTGATTGAGGATATATACTTTGACTGATATATAAATCAATCTTAGTACAGACACTATGTATTATAATGTCGGATTAGCGTGCGAGTCCTCTCTGTCACATGCATGCATACATGTCATTTTCTTCCTATCACCTCCCTCCTTCAAATATTATCGGAATATTTTAATCTGTTGTAACATGTAATTTAAAATTATTTATTTACGTTACTCATTTAACTTAATTGTTATATATGAACAATTTGATTATTTGTCTTTAAGATGATTATAGATATATATCTCACATTGTTATATTTCACTATAAGAGGCGTACACATAAATTTTGTAAGTTGTGTTAATATTTAAAAACAAATAAATTATTGATATAAATGTACCAATAAAACATAAATTAAGTAAATTACTAGTACAATTTATTATTATGTTTTAGTTCAACTGATTTATTTTACCCTAGGAATTGGAAGTTGGAGTTCGCCAAGGATCAAACTCGGTTACACTTAGGGGTCGTTTAGTGTGAGGGATTAAAAATAATAGTGATGGGATAAAAAAATTTATCTTGTTTGATTGCCACGTTTGGAATAACTTATCCACCATTTAAATCATAGTGATGGGATAAGTTATCCCATATACATGATGGGATAAGTTATCCCAGGATAGCTAATCTCAGGATAACTTATCCTGGGATAACTTGTTCCCAGCCAAACGACTCCGACCGCGCACACTAAACCAACGAGACAAGAAAGTGTACTTGTTCAAATAGTGTTATTAATATTATTTATACCGTATATATATAATACTAAAAAAAATTCAACGAAATAATGTTGGTGAACACCCCTTAACATAGGGTGAGTATGTCCTGCTGACTATGAGAATGTTTGGTATCCAATTTCTCCATGTTTGATAGGCTAAATTGTCAAAATATTTTCTCTAGGAAAATAAGCTTCTTAAAAATAAGGAAAGTGACTTCGTTAAACAAAGTAAGAAAAACAAGCTACACAAATAATATTGCAAATTCATTATCTCTTTTCATGAAAAAACATTTTCTTTCGTACCGAACACACAGTATATCTCAAGTCATTTTCGCACTTCTGCAATTGAGGAATTAATTTCCGACAGACACTCCTCTTTATTGTGTTTCGATTTGTCACTCCTCTCATTTAAAGTCACGTTTGCAGCGGCGATTATTAGTCTCACTAATATACATAATATGTGCTAAGGATATTCAATTGTGGTTCATTGAAATATCCTTCATCTTAAAATTATTAGACTATAAATATAAGGTTAAAACTATATTAAAGAGGGTAACAAAGTTTCAACAAGTTCGTTGAACTAGGTTCAATAACTAAAACTAAGTGTGACGTAAAACAATAAAGAACATAATGATTAATGCACCATGAAAAATCTCCTAACTCAAAATAGTAAAAACTATGATTTATTGTATAGAATTTTCAACAATCATCACTAAACTTCAGAGAAAAGTGTTAGATTACAACTCAATAATCCAAATGAGTAAATCTAGTACCTCAAACACATCAATTAGAGTATGAACCCAACAAAAACTGATTACTATAGTGTTCTACAAATCAACCCTTTTCAGCAAACAAATTAACTAAGCTTAACATTTTTTTTTTAATAAACAAACATATATACAAACTCAATCATAACCTAATAACCAGTAGACCAATCCAATTATCTTAATTGGGATGAAGTCTTCCAGCTCTTTAATTAATGATGACTATTGCTTTTTAATTAATGAATTTTTTGAATATGCAATAAGTACGATTTGTAGTTTATGCTTCACGTCTAAAAAAAAAGAAGCTTCATGTCTTATATATATGGACTATCAACACGCCTTAGAATAACTTGACTAAGATCTTGACTTCCAATAGGACAATGTCGTTCGTCTAGGTATGGCAATAGTGCGGTGCGGGGTGAGGGTGGGGCGGGTTAAGTTTAACCCATAAAATTTTTAATCTTCCCCGCCTTACTCCGCATAACTCTTTTTTTTACTTTCAATCCGCTCCACCCCGCCCGCATAGAGCCGCTCCGCATGAACCACTCCGCATAATTTTTTTAATATTTCTTTTTCTAGTTAAGTTTGATACTAAAAATAAAATTGATAAAAATAAATTCATTTTTTCATTAAGTTGTATTAATGACTTAAAAATTTATTTTTAGAGGTCAGTTTGGAAACATGTAAGAAATTAAATTATTTTTTATTGAATCATTTTCATTTACTATCTTGAATATTTTAGTAGTTTTAAAGAAATTATCTTAGGACATCTCCAATGCTACTCTCTATTTTACCCTCTAAATATGGAGTTCTCTATTTTTTCAGACAATCCACTCCAACCCAATTCTCTATTTTATTCTCTAAAAATGAATCTTTTTCTCTCTCCTCAATATTATATTATTATTTCAATTTCATTTTTATTTCCTTATTTCATAATATAAATCAATTTTATTTTTTTGCAAATAATCACCCTATAATCTATATAATTTTCATGTAATATAAAATTTTATTCTTTTCAAATTCTTCATTTAATAAAAAACTATTTTATTCTAAATAACATAAATGCGGTAAATATTATATATAATGCATATTAGCGAACAATTCAAATCAAAGTGATTATTGATGAACTACAACTATATCATCAATATTGCATTATCGTAAAAATTATTTCAAATTTTACATAAATATTCAACTTTCAAGACTATTACGTTTCTCCCACCAAATGCTCTATTAATGCATTACGGAGTTCAAAATGATTTGTCCTTATTTTTTTTATTTGTAGCTAAAAATTGTTTAAATTAACGATTTCATCTTGTACACAAATTATTTTGTATACTAATTTATTTCCCCTATTCCATTTTAAACTATTGCATTAAGTATTTTCATGCTCATTAAAAAGTGTAGTTTAATCATTTATCACTATAACATAAAAGTGGATTGTTTGAACTATCATGTAAATTTTGTGCGTTCTTCATTGTGAAAAATAATTATAATTTTAAATTACATATTTAAAGTGACAAAAACTTTTATAAAATCAAATTAGAAAAACTGTTAATTCGGGATGGAAGTAGTATACTTATCAATAATATATTTTTAGATATTATATTACTTAGAAAATAATTACAAATATTAGAGACTTAATTAGTAGTATTGTATGGCATAAATAATATTAAAATAATTTTAAATTACATATTTAAAGT